CGAGCCCCTGCAGAGCCCACCAAGCCATCAGCTGCAGAGCACCCCTGTACCCTGACTTGCCTAAAAAGTCCCACACCGGAATCAGGAGAAAATCACCTCCAGTGGTTTTGCCCACATCAGCAGCGTGAGAAGTGTTGGCAATATCGGCGTGTCAGGGCGTGCTTTTCCGTCTTGAACTACTAGACATGGAAGGAGTTAAGCATCTGGGTACAGCTGTCAGTGCGATAGCTGCCACGCTCACTCACATTTGGCACCCTTGAATGCTGGCCCAGCGTTTATCCGTTTGCTGCTGCTGTTTTGCATGTGTTTGTACTGGAAATACCAGTAAACCCTGCCTTGAAATGCAGCTTCAGTCACTTAAGGCAAGTGGTACCCAAAACTCCCCCATCTCTTCTCTTTATCATTAGATGGCCAAGCACTTTCTGTAAGAAACACCTATAAGAACCTTCCTATAAGAAACTTTCTTAAAGAAAAAAACCACTTCCCTTTCTACAAGAAACACTGAGCTAAAAGGAGGTGGCACCAGTAATGGCCGGAGGCCATGGGCAGGAGATGCCTGTGCGGGCGCTGCTCCTTGTGCCCACACCCCCCCACCTCCAGCATCCACTCCTGGCCACTGTGGCAGACAGGACACGCCAGGAGCTGGACTCTGGCTCAGATGGCCACGGGCTGCTCTTGTATGCCTGTGTTCTGCTCGCAAATCAAAGCTTGTTAAAACTCCATCAGGCTCCTAATTATTGTAGCAGTTAACACTTGGGGAAATGCTGAATCATTTCCCAGGCACAGAGCTCAAATTCAGGTCTAGGGAAATGCAATGATTTAAGGTCAAAACTTGACATAGATCTCAACTCATTATTATTACTAATTTCCTGTTAATTTATTGTTACCACCATCATCATCCTCATTATTATTATGAGCACTATAGTTTGTGGTGGGGGAGGCTTTAGCTCCAATTAGTTTTGACATAGGATATTCAGCTTATGGCTTCCAACCAGAAGAGCAGCACAGCTCACATAGCATCATCTTCTGCTACCCTGTAGAGAAGCACCGTACCATTAGGACAGTGGTGCTGTTGACTGCCAGCGTGGCTGGAGACGGACCCAGTGAGCTCTCCGCATGGTGCCGATCACAGCACATACCCCCGGGGCCAGAGCCTTCCCTGGGTGGGCAGCAATGGCAAGGGAAACACCTGGAGCAGAGCCATGACACAGAAAGACACAACCTGAACTCTGGGCCCAGTGACTTCCCGTTTTCTCATTTTCATCCCTCTCGGAAACAACTTTCACGCCGCACGCTGAACAATGAGCTTGTTTGCAAGGGGCTCATGGTGTGCCAGAGAGCACTCAGGGGAAGAGGTCTACTGATTACCCCTCTTCTGAAATTTTTCCTGATCTTTTCCTTGACTACTTTTTCCTGAGCTGCTACTAGTATTAACAAGTATTTGTTTGGATTTTTAGTCCTCTCCAGTCTGCTGACTTCTAGGTCACAAGGATTTCTGCCTTGCTTTACTGCAAGTCCCTCCCTCTGCCACAGTGTCTCAGAAATCTAAAGTTATTTAGCAAAGTTTGTTCTTTGCATTCACATCAGCCTTTTATTCCACCCTCTGCTCCCTTTGGAAGTGGGGTCACCCCTGCCCACACGAGAAAAATAACAACAGGTCAAACCATCTTTTGAAGCAGTAAAGCAGTGCAGCCAGTCTGAGTTTAGTGTACCTTGGCCTATGCAGTGACACCTAAATAAGCTGCTAATAAAGAGTCTGTGGAGATGCCAGCAAAGAGTCTTCGGAGATATTAGCCCCAATCTTTGCGAGTTGGGAAGCCCTCCTAGGAGGTGGGTTTTTCCTACCAATTTTTGTTAGCTGGCCTGGGTACTGAATGGAGACACTGAGAAGTTGGGGCCTCTCACTTGGTTCTGCCTGAGAAATCACAGTCTATAGATGAGCTGGGCCACCAACACCCCCACCCTGAAATTTTACTGTGCAGCTCAAATCCATGCTCCAGTTTGCGGGCCCCTACGGGACACACACCACCCCATGTGGTCCAGCACCATCTAGATGGTGGCCAAGCTCT